CCTTCCTCAAGGTCCCGTTGAGTCAAGGTCGCGTCCCCTGGCGGGGCCTCGTAGCTCAAGTGGCTTGAGCGTTGGCTGTACGTATGCCTTCCCCTTACTGCGTGGGTTCGAATCCCACCGAGGCGCCGAGTTTTTCACAGTTGCGTCAATATGAGTCATTTACATTCGCAGCGAGCGGTTTCAGGCTCGCTGGCCTGCCAGGATGTACTCATAAAACGTCCTGGGGCATATGAGGGATTTAACTATCAGTCGGTGCTAGAAAAAATTTCTAGCAATCCGTAATTGTTTGCGGCATTTATTGTGTTGCTCCTTATAGTCGGTAGATGTTATGGGATGTCGAATATCTAAGTACCTTTTCCACAGGCTCTGTTTCTTCATGATCCTTTTTGTGATCGCAATCACTCACTGTGGTTGATTGCCTGCTCTCCTTATTTCCATATGCCAATGAAATTCACTTAGACCCTCTATTATTCCCGAAAATACTGCTTCGGAATCTTCCAAACCAGGCTTCCTCCGAGAAAACACGTCTCATTACGTTAAAATTTCGGGTTGGGGTCGGTTAACTTGTCTTAGTCCCAAGTGTAAGCACAATGTGGGCATTGCAAATAAAGAAAGCCAATGGAGGATGCTGAAATCGTTAATGAGAAAGTAGCCAAAGCTAAAAAAGGGGAAAGGGCAACCCGGTGTTTTGGTTCAGAGATAGAGTTTGGGTTTGTGTCAGACCGAGTATTCAGTTTGAAATTAGGGTTTGTGTTAAGTTTAAGGGTTACTTTTAGAGTTAGGGTTTGGATTTCAGTTTGAGTTTACGCAAAGTATTGAGGTTGGGGTTAGGGAAAGGCCACGGTAAAGGTTAGGGTTAGGATTTGGGTCAGGGTTAAGGTTATGCTTAGAGTTAGGTTTAGTGTCAAGTTTAGGGTTAGCATTAGATTCATAATTACGTTAGGAATTAGGTTTACTTTTAAGGTTACGGTTAGGTTTAGCGTTAGGTTTGGGGTAGTACTGCTTCGCGTGCCCCGTAAGCCAGGTTTTTTGTGAGGATTGAAGGCACCCTTTAATTTCGCAGCAGATATGTCATACACCAGATCGTCATTTCCGTTTCAGCCTCGGCTTCCAAATATCTCTGTTTCTCTTAATTTGAGCTGTAAGTTCATTAGGAGGGAGTACGCGCAGGTAAAGGCAATATGGTCGCTTTAGCCGGGTGGAGATTGTTCATTCACTTCCCATATCACTCAATCTTTACTAAAAACGAGATCTAGCCAGTTAGATAATTGTCCTCCTCCCAAATGTTTTCCCGAATTTGTATGTCGAATGAAGTATTCGTCTAGAGAAATTATTGTAGCTTGCCTTTTAGCCTGAAACCGCAAATTATAAAGCCTTCTCAAAATGTAACCTGTTTCTCGAAACCATTTAGTTCGTTAGCTAACATAAATTGCCCCTTATATGATGCTCAAAATTCACGAAATCATATTTTTATGCCCCCTGTTTTTCCAATCCCACGAAATAGCATTTCTTTTCATGGGCCCTGCCCAAATGTATTCTCATACAATACTGCATCTTTTGTTAGTGGTAATATCCCCACAAATTTCAGACCACGGCAACTTGGTTATTCACCCTTTACGTCTTCTCCACAGCTTAATTTTCCACAGCCTGCTCTTCAGTTTTGTAAGTAGTAATGGGCGGAGCATACACAAAAATATCCATCCTTCTACTCATTGGGTAGAAAATGAGGTCTTCTCTCAATTTTATGCAGGGAGGATGTGTATAATTCAGTTTTTAAAGACTTTTGCAATTTCCGAGTAATTCTGAACCCCAACCTGCCGTTTCACCTGCATTTAGGGTATCCAAACTACAACCCATATATTTTTCGCGTACGAAGAACCGTATATTTCTCTAAGGTATTAAGAGAAAACCATTTGGGGCTCATGAAATTTAGCAGTGAATTTGAGCCGTATTGTTAACGTTACAACCCACATTGGTAAATGCAGAAACATGAGCTTTTCTGATCAGCCATTTCACGGTATTAAAGAATTTCACAATTAGAAAATTTTTTAAAACCGAATTATTTTCCTTTTGGAGTATAAAATTAAAGAAGACGTTATTTTCTACTGAATGAGTAAAAGAATGAATATTTGTACGCAAGTTTTCCAGGAAATATAATTGAAATTTTAAGGGAATCTAAAATCAATGAGAAAAACGCATGCTAAATAAGTTGTCATTTTTGAAAGATCATAGTTTTTGAATGCAGCCGGAAAGAAGTTCGTTTGAAAGCCGGCATCCTGGGGTAAGTAAATTATTGTAGAATTGCGTTCGACATCTCATGAGTTAAACCACAAAATGTACTTCCTTTCTTAAATTCCAGAAGATACTATTCACTTTTCAAAGTTGTCTCAACTAGCCTACTCTTTGACCAGAAACGATAGTGCATTTGATTTAATTTTTAATAATGGCACCCTCCATTTACCTATGGGTTTCTATCGTGACCATTTTACGAGTGATCATGAATTAATTAAATGTCCTGTTCCATTAGCGATTTCCGCAAAGCCAACAGTAAAACGTAGCGTTTTGACTATATTAATATTAACAAGGAATTAGTAAACAACCTTACAAGCCCTCTTGTTCGGCACAATATTTTTTTCAAATAATGTCTAAATTTGTCTACAAATTATTACAGTGCGTAACAGAAGTTATTCTCGACCTAACAACGGAAGACGTTAAAATCGAGCTGCGGAAGCAGCTTGATGATCCTTCCGTAAGCTCATTATTAGTTCACTTCAAAATCGCTGAACTACTGAAATTGGCTTTGAAAATGCAGAACTTGCAAGATAGGCGTAGAGTCTTTGACTATTTATAAGTCGAATGATTCCAGATGTTGAATATGGAGACAAGTTCGCTGGGACAAGAGCTTTATTAGTTTGACGTTTCGGATTCATGCTCGAACCCACCATCAGAGACAAAGGCAGATACGGGTGGTTCATGCACAAGGGGCTGCAGTATTTATACGATGCAGTCGCCATGCAACCGCACACCTATGAATATTCACGTCTCCCCCTCATTATCAGGGATAGTTGCATTTGGTGTGCTGACTGTTTGATGGCCGACATTCCCGTCGTTAATTGCTGCAATTTCACCACGTGCGTTGGATGTTGGTGTGATGATTGCTTAACCATCTGATCCACCGACCCTGACGTCGGGAATGTGTTCACTTGTGCGCTTCCCACGTGGCTAATTACTCCGCCTAGGCGAAGTCTCAGCATTGAGTATGGAAGGGGAAAGTTATTGCACTTTTTAATGGACTGCGCGGTAGTAAACCATGATTCAAGTAGCTCCCGGCTCACACGAATGTCACCTGTTGCGAGAATGTCGGCCTCCTCGAATATGAATGTGCAGCCGGATCTCGTCGAATGAGCCGCAACTTGATCAGATGGTCAAGCAATCATTGCACCAACATCCAACGCACATGATGAAATTGCAGCAATTAACGACGGGAATGTCGGCCATCAAACAGTCAGCACACCAAATGCAACTATCCCTGATAATGAGGGGGAGACGTGAATATTCATAGGTGTGCGGTTGCATGGCGACTGCATCGTATAAATACTGCAGCCCCTTGTGCATGAACCACCCGTATCTGCCTTTGTCTCTGATGATGGGTTCGAGCATGAATCCGAAACGTCAAACTAATAAAGCTCTTGTCCCAGCGAACTTGTCTCCTTATTCAAGACTGGGACCCGTCTCTTCGCTCCTATTGGCAATGTATTTGGGCGCGATGCGCTCCGATCGCCTCGGCGATGGGAAAACTTCGCCATTCGGGAGGCCTGCGCGTATTCGCAGATTCGGTTTCTGCACAGGTGTCCCGACCATAATGTGTTACCGAAATGTGTTTCATACAAGCCACCGATTAACACGGATTTGGCGAGACGAGCAGTATTTCAGCACGGCAGAAGGATGATTCGATTTGATAGAAGCGAACAGGCGAGTTCCAGGTAGCAGTTCAGAATATGAAGATGCGATCACTGGAACAAGAAATTTGTTTTTTTGACGTTTCGGATTCTCACTCGAATCCATCATCAGAGACATTCACAGACAAAGGTGATGGTGGCACCAGGAGTGCAGTATTTATAGCACGTGGCTGTCGTGAGACCGTATGTGCATTGCAATTAACAGTTCTCGCAATCACCGCTTGGGCCGTAATTGATGCGGTGGTGGCCTGTCGGTCCGAGTCCGGGTCGTTAATTAACGCGATTTCGTCGTCCGTGTTGGATGCTGGTGTGACGATTGCTCGGAAAACTGGCTCATTGTCACCGTGATGAGTGCTCGACTGCGCCCTCCCTACGTGGCTGATTCTCCTGCCCAGGGAAAAATCGCAATACGGAATAGGGTACCGAGAGGTCATTGTGCTTGTTGATGGATTGCGGGCATGAGAACCGTGACTCGAGCAGCTCGCGGCTCAGGCGGTTGTCACCCCTTGCGAGGATTTCGACCTCTAGAAATTCGAAAATATTGCCGGGTCCCGTCGAGTGTGCCGCCACCGGAGAGTTAACGTCTCCCCGCCTCACTGCTGCTGCGTGCTCGGCAATTCGCCTACGGAGTATTCTCTCAGTTTCTCCGACATAATTGCTTTGTCCGCAACTACACCAGATCCGGTAAACGACTCCAGACGTTTCCTGCCGTGGCAGCGGGTCTTTCGGCCTCATGACTTGGCGCCTAATGGTTGCTTCCGGCCTGTGTGCAACCCCAACTCCAAGTGGAGTGAGAAGACGACTGACGGCTTCCGAGACGTTCTTCACGTACGGAAGTGTCCGCCAAAATCTGCGGCCGGTCGGATTTGGTCTCTGGTGTCCTTTTCGTATGCACTGGTTGACAAAGTTGCGCGGGTAACCATTGGCTCTCATTACCCGTCGTAGATATTGTAATTCAGCAACCTCGTCTTCCATTTCACTGCAGTGCGTCTCAGCGCGCCGGTATAGGGCCCCTACGCAACTGCGTTTGTGACTGATCAGATGGTTGCTGTTGAAGTGCAGTATTTGTGTCGTATTTGTCGCCTTCCTGAACACTATGGTTTTCAGGCCACCACAATCTTTGCGGCAGAAGAGGACATCCAGGAAGGCCGGCTGGCTGTTTTCTTCCTCCTCCATTGTAAATTGAATGTCCGGGAAGACGGCGTTGAGATGTTCTTTGAATGTCGGCACCTGATCCAGTTCGATGACGACGAAGGTGTCACCCACATACCGAGCCCAGAATTTCGGTCTGTGGTGTCAGAAAACCAGCGACTCCAGCCGTTGAAGGACCGCCTCGGCTATGAGTCCCAAAATCGGCGAACCCATTGGCGTCACCTTCACCTGCTCGTAGATTGTTCCGTCGAACGTAAAGTACGTAGTAAGACAGAACTTCAGGAGCTGGATGATTTGGGCGTGTCCGAGGCGATTATCCGTTTCGTCGTATTTCTCTCGTAGGAGTAGTTCGATGATCTCGACTGCTGGGTCCTGCGGGATAGAAGTAAACAAGGGATGTGACAGCAGAGGACACCATGATGCCGCTTGGCAGGAGACTTACTCCTTTAAGTTTCTCTAAGAATTGCGTTGACGAGCTGACTGTGGTGTTCGAATCGGAGGTTAAAAAACTTGAGACGATGGAAGAGCCACTTTGCCAGTCCGTAGGTTGGAGTGCCCTTAAGTGATACGATAGGCCGGAGAGGAGCGCCCTCTTTGTGCACTTTTGGGAGACCGTAGAATCTGGCTATGCCGTTTCTTGTGCTCTCGACATCCGTCGATCGATTGGCGATATTGCACCTGAGTTCTCCATTGCCAACAGCGTCGCGGTAATCTCGCGTGTCAGCGTTTTCATGGGGTTGAATTCGCATGGGACATAGGACTGACGATCCTCCAGCAAGCTTTTGACTTTTTGATTGTAGTCTGTCTGTCTGGACAGGACAGACAGACTGGAGTCGTTTACCGGATCTGGTGTAGTTGCGAACAAAGCAATTATGTCGGAAAAACTGGGAGATTACTCCGTACGCCAATTGCTGAGCACGCAGAAGCAGTGAGGCGGGGAGACGCTAACTCTCAGGTGGCGGCACGCTCGACGGGACCCGTCCATATAGTGTTAGGGGGTGCTCACCGATCGTTCATACGGAATTCACTCGTTCCGTTGTGCCTTAAGGGCTCTCTCTCGAGCCAAACCAGCAGCCGCACAGCGGCGCATGATATAGGCAGTATGTTATTATCGACAAAGACAAGGGAGACTGGAATGGTCATTTCTGGCTTATTAGCCATCGTCAGCCAGCCATACCCAAGCCCGAATTGTGGAACACCCGAGCCTCGAACTCGCGACCTGTTGGTTTAGAAGTCAACGCCTCTACTCACAGAGGCTCGGGTGTTCCACACGTCGGGCTTGGGTATGGCTGGCTGACGACGGCTAATAAGCCAGAAATGGCCATTCCAGTCTCCCTTGTCTTTTTTCGGTAATAGTATTCTGCCTATATATCATGCGCCGCTGTGCGGCTGCTGTTTGGGCTCGAGAGAGAGCCCTTAAGGCACAACGGAACGAGTGAGTTTCGTATCAACGATCGGTGAGCGCCCCCTAACACTCTATATTCGCGATCGAAAACCGACAGGGCAACGGGCTCGTGGCCCGGTGAGTAGAGGCGTTGACTTCTAAACCAACAGGTCGCGAGTTCGAGGCTCGGGTGTTCCACACTTCGGGCTTGGGTATGGCTGGCTGACGACGGCTAATAAGCCAGAAATGGCCATTCCAGTCTCCCTTGTCTTTGTCGGTAATATCATTCTACCCGTCCATATTTTTAAACGTCAAGAGGCCGAAATCCTCGCAAGGGGTAACAACCGCGTGAGCCGCGAGCTGCTCGAGTAATGGTTCTCATGCCCGCAATCCATCAACAAGCACAATGACCTCCCGATACCCTATACCGTACTGCGAATTTCCCTGGGCAGGAGAATCAGTCACGTGGGGAAGGCGCGGGCGAGCATTCATCACTGTGACAGTGAGCCAGTTTGCCGAACAATCGTCACACCAGCATCCAGCACGGATGACGAAATCGCGGCAATTAACGACTCGGACTCGGACTGACAAGCCATCACCGCATCAATTACGGCCCCACCGGTGATTGCGAGAACTGTTAACTGTAATGCGCATACGGTCCCGCGGCAGCCACGTGCTATATATACTGCACTCCTGGTGCCACCATCACCTTTATCTGCGAATGTTTCTGAGGATGGATTCGATTGGGAATCCGAAACGTCAGGCAAATAAATGTCCTGTTCCAGAGATCGCATCTTCATCTTCCGATGATTCGAGGCCTCCTCCAAGATTGTCACACGAAACTTCGCAAGTACCGTCATAGGACTGACGAAGAAATGACCAGATGCTGTGAGTTCATCGGTGAGATCGGTACAAATCCGCTCCTGCAGGGATTGACTGAACATGCCCGCGAACAGAGAGTGATACGCGACGCAGCACTGGAGAACAAATTCCGAAAGCTGTCCAATCCAACATCGCCCAGAAACGACAAACTGGAGCACAACATGTCAAAGCAGCTGACGAAGGATCAGATGCAGGTTTTACGTCACGAAGCTGCATTCAACACTGCTGACGCCAAACCTGTTAACACGATTGCAGCAGTGAATTCAGTCCTTATTCAGACTGAGGCAACGGAGAAGACTAAGAGCCTCATCCGACCCCAAAATTTTGTCCTTCCTAATGGCCCACAGACCGCGGGAAGTGCTTTCCAAGGTCGAACGTGATGCGCCAAGAGGACTCAAGGCCGACAAAGACCTAGTCATCGTGCAAGCGGACAAGGGGCGCTTCACGGTTTTCTCTTGAGTACAAGCAGTTCCGAGGAGATCTCATACAGGCGTATCGGATCTTGAGGAACCGGGACTGTGCCCTAAACCTCGACGACTTCTTCACCCTGGCCACAAAAACAAACCTACGTGGGAACTTTCTAAAACTTAGAGAATCCCAATGCCGCCTGGACGTTCGCAGATACTCCATTTAACAGCGAGTCGTCGGTGCCTGGAACGGGCTTCCTGAGAACGTGATAATGGCGGATTCCACGGAGACATTCAAACAAAAACTAAATGTATAATTGCTTGAAAAATACCGCTTCTCTGGACAGAACAGCTTTGTTGTGTCAAACTAACACCTTACATACACCTACCGATAATGCGAATGATTGTTATTTCATTTTACCGTTATCATCTGCAACTCAATGTTCTCGAGTTTCGGTCCTGCATTTTCAAATGTTAATATTCCTTTAAGTGTATATATCACTGACAACATTTTAGTACCGTGGCTACTAAAAGTTAGACATTGCATGTACCTTTTTAAATAGGGTTTGCAAAGGAATTGCCTATTATCCTTAAAATATATTGACCTATACTAACCTTTCACGTTAGAGTAACGACTACATTTTCAAAGGACAGAAGAACTTCAATTTAACGATCGATCTCGAAATAAGCTCGTTCGTTTTCTTCTGACATCGTCATTGCCATGTAGAATAAATACCTCAAGATAATAGAACTTCTAAACAATGATTGTTTTTTAGAGAACTAGCAATCGCTTTCTGCATTTGGAGTACCTGCCATAACTTCTGGGTGATAGTGACGGACTTTGTGGTCTTTATACTTACTGTCGCCTCTCGTCTCGGGGAGACAGCGGACCTTGCATTCTATCGCCCACCGTGTTGATTTCTGAGCCAATGGAGTGTAACGTCCTGCATACGACTACCACTCATGCGGATCACTGTCAGTTTATATTACCGTTACCACCTACAACTGACTGTTCTCGAGTTTTGACCCCGCATTTTTAAAGAAAAATTATGTTCTAGGTATCCATTACTAAAAACATTTTAGCGCCGTGTTTATTTAAAGTTAGATATTGTATGTAGCCTCTTCAATAGGGTTTTCAAAGGCATTGCCTATTACCCTTAAAATAAAAAGACCTAAACTGGCCTAACTGTTCGTCCAAGCACACCTTTTTGATAAAAGCATCCCTGCCAGAACCATCCCCGCCTAGGCCCGCGTAACCCTTGCAAAAATGGCGGGGCT